AGATACTTGCTACCGAAGAAAGTTGGAGCTGCATAAGAATAAATTACAACTTGAATCCAATCCCACTCAATTCGAATCTCCTCGCATCCGATAAACAATTTCAGCTTCAGAGAAAACTTGTACATACTGATCGGTCCAGGGTCTCTGGAACGTGTCTCACCTTTCTGAGAAATATACCTATTATTATTATTATTATCTTGTCGTTTCAAGTGATTGGCTGTTGCTTGATATCCCCGATGTGGCGGCGCCTCATGTGCATGTTGACAAGGCACTCACCTGTCTATTACCCACTACCTCATCTATACTGGCTCTAGAAGACAGTTGTTCGTTGCTGGAGGGGATGGGGTGCACGATCCCTGTGGCCGTGTTAGGCGCAAAGAGTGGTTCTATGCATTCAGTGTGGAGCGGAGTACAGTCCAGCCACCGCCTTGTGTGCGCTTGTTTCCCAAACACAGAGTGCTTGTGTTTGCCTGTGAGTGTGGGCCGGCTCCGTTGATGAAACGTGGCTCCCATCCACATGCCTCCCGGTCTTATTCCTTCGGGTTTACACTGGATATGGGGTGTGTGGATGGAGTTGTGAATGGTGCAGCGCAAGCCATCCATGTTCCCTCTGTAGGCGTAGGAGTCCTGTGGCTGGCCACAGTGACATGCAAATCCGAAACCGGAGGTCGCCAACCCTATATATATATATATATATATATATATATATATATATATATATATATATGTAACCGTCTACGAATAGACACAGAGCCATTAGAAACCATGGGACTCGAAAGAAAGTACAGAGATTGTAAAAGAAAACACAACACAGCACATCGGAGTCCATGGTTTTATCAGAGGGCCAGATACACTACGCGGTTGCCCAAGCCGAAGCAGGGTGTTGACTTATGGGACACCACCCCGAGGCTTTAGCCGGATAGCCTGACCGCAAGGCAGCGGAGCGAATGCAGGGAATCGCGCTCATTAGGAGCCGGCGACGGATTGCTCGGTTCATACGCCTTTCGTTTGTCAAGCAGGAGCCCAATGATTTTCACTATGACCAAGAAATCCCTGTTGTAACGAATAAGCAAATTTTTTTAGTTGTTTGCTTGGCAGTCAGTGTCACTCTGATTTACATTGGCGAAAACTTATAATGCGCTGTACTTCATGTGAGTGGAATATGAATAGTAAAAGATTTAAGAGGAATATACTGGACACTAAGAGATAATGCTACTAAAGACGCCGGGGTTGGTTGGGGACTGCCTTTTGAGGAGGATGTTTGGAATTAGCATAACATAACATTTAGGAAACAGCAGATCCGGTAAATAAAATGAACGAAGGTGAGTCAGAAGGTAACGCCACTTTCGATAGGATAGGTATAGTTATCAACGCAGGAACATGTATCATACATCAAAATGTAGCCGGTCCTTTGTGGATCACATCCCTACTTCACAACATAGTCACCGTTTCTAGCAATAATAATGTTCCACCTTCGAATGAGAAGATGTATCCCGACGTAAAATTCCGTTGACTGTTCTTGGAGCCACTTCCTAGTCACTGCAATAGTGTTTGCTTCTCAAACCGTCTGTATTATTATGAATCGGAATCAAAAAGGCAGTTAATGGAATGGCGCCGTTCAATGTCACTGCAACTAAAGAAGTTCAACTCTAAAAAGTCAGTTGAAAAATTCATGTCGACTGTCTGTTGGGATGTTAAATGTGTTAATCTGATTAATCGTTGAAAAGACGAGAAATAAACTCGGTTTACATTGAGACCCTGACGAGTCTTAGAGCAAGAATCCTACGAGCGAGATCCAACTTGCCAATCGACAAGGTCCTACTTCTGCACGACCACACACACAAGCATCAAGGCAAGGGAGACAATCGCGTCATTCTGTTGGACAAGTTTACACATCCTCCTAACTCACCAGATTTAGCGCCTTCAGATGATCATCTTTGTGGCCTCCATTAGAGAGGGTTTGAGAAGCGAACAGTATCCCAGTGACGAGAAAGTAAAGACTGCAGTGAAGTAGTGGCTCAAAGAACAGTCAACGGAATTTCACAAGGCAGGGGAACATGCTCTTATTCGAAGGTGGAACATTTTTATTGAGAGAAACGGTGACTATGTTGAGAAGTAGGGATGTGATCCACAAAGGACCAACTGTATGTCGATGTATGATACATGTCCCTGTGTTGATAACTATACCTGTTCTAAAGAAGTTGGCGTTACTTTTCAACCCACCATTGTTGCTACAAATAGGTGGCATAATGGCGCAACTGACGGATCCACAAACGAATCGAATAACCGCAAGCATGCCGAACGTAAGTGGGCAGTATTACTTGCGGTGTATGTTAGTACCGTGTAGCAATATAATGAACTGCATATCAGGTGCCCAGGCTTGGAACGTAAGCCGAAGCATTCCAACAGTTAACGCCCGATTTTAATGGCCGAAGTCTATATGCTCCTAGAGGTAGCAAATAACATTCATGATGTCCTTACAGTCAGCGGAAACCCCATTGTGTATTTTGAGGTTTTCACGGAGTGAACACAACTTTCTTTACTACAAGCAAGGTATAAAACCTGTGAACTCAGCCTCAACTCGAGTTACTTCAACAACTAAGACTGATGCACCAAGGTGCAATGAATCCCTGTCATGACTCATGTCGCCAAAGAAATAATAACAATAATAGTAATAATAATAATAATGAAATAAGGGGAAATGAAACCGCTAGGTAGCGAAGTTAAGGGAACGAATGTGAGAGCGCCACTGACTCTGCAAGCGTGTCACATCTGCAGCGGTGTATGGAACAAATGATGTGGCCGATCTTAAGGTGATGAACACCAACTACATTTGAAGATTCGTCGCAGTTAGACACAGGCAGACAGCTACCACACATCCAGGAAAGCGCTAGACGGCCGTTTCGTCCTATTGGGACTCGTCAGTAGCGCGCACCTGCCAAATGCTGCCGGATTCGAACTCACGATCTTATTCTTGCGAGACAGCGACTTATGCCACTGAGCCATGAGCGACAGCTGCGGCTCGCCATGACTAATATCTAACTGCGACATAGCGCGGTTCATCCTCCACAGCCATGCATGTAATGAAGATGCAGAGAATAGGGCTGGCCCCCAGAGTAACGAGTTCCATTGCAAGCCGCCACCAATCGAGGTGGCATGTAAGCTGCTGAGGCGATGTAGTGGCTCTCTGCCTGAGTCTAAGTGCGACGAATCTTCACAAAAAGGCGACAAATTCCCATACTACCTACAAATAAGCAGCAGTCGTCCTAGTAGCTTACATGCCACCTCGATTGGTGGCGGTCTGCAAAGTCGTTGCTCTGGGGGCCAGCATTGTCCTTTGCAAGCTCATTACATGTACGACAGTGGAGGATGAGCAGCACTATGTCGCAGTTAGATATCAGTCATGGCAGTCCGCTGCCGTTGTCCATGGCTCAGCGGCATAAGTCGCTGTCTCGCAAGAGTAAGATCGTGGGTTCGAATCCGGCAGCATTTGGCAGGTGCGCGCTACTGACGAGTCCCAATAGGACGAAATGACCGTCTAGCGCTTTCCTGGATGTGTGGTGGCTGTCTGCCTGAGTCTACACAAAAACCTAATAAATCCCCCTTACCGCTTACAAATAACCAACTACATGCTCCCCTTCTGTAGGTTTCGACACTCTAGCCTCATCATTGGTTAATACTCCTGCACGTCGTCTTCCGTTCGCGTCGCCTGGCATCTCTGGTCATCTTGTGGTAGAGCTATATTCTACCGGTAGCTGTAAGAAAAGTGATTTTTTGCACTGACCAGATCACGTGAAGACAAAGTAGCACAGACTTACAGCGACTACAAAGGCGGCGGCGGCGGCCTCTACTGACATCAACTTAGTATTTCACACACACATACTGAAGTGTCTAAACTGAGAAGTGATCGGAATTTTCATTTCAGAATGTGCGGTGAGCGTGCGGACACGTTCTCCTCTCATCATTCAAAACGCTTGCGTAAGCTAGGGGACAACAGTTTGAGAATCGAAAAGCCGTGTGCTAGAAAGATTGCCATTTGTGTATCACAAACGAGTTGTGTCAACTTTTCCGCATCCACAGGAAATACGCGGAGACAGAGGCAGTACAATACATTAAGAATTCAGTATTGGATGTGAAAGAATTACACGAGGACTTCAGGTACCCCGATGGTGATATGCACCCCAGCTTGTCCTTCACTCGTTGTATCCGGGAGATCAGATCGAAGTAAATAAAAAGCACTGTGAATTAACCCAGCAACATTTCGGTGCATCAAACAGCGGTAGGAGATTAGTATCTCTATCACGCAAGAAATGTCTAAAGTCAAAATCCTGAATGTGAACAGCACAACTTGTACATACAACAAAACAAGATCACTGGCTGTTGTGGGACCAAAAACAAGACATAAACGACTGTCGACCCATTGTTTGCACTTCGGTAGTAAAGACTGTTTGGCGAAGGATACCGGTTCGCCCACCGTAGGCCGAGATTCATCATAGGCGCAACGGCGCACATGATCCATCTAGTGATTTTTGCACCATAAAGTAAAAAAACCCAACACACTTGAGTGTGCGTTCCTGTGACACGTTCGATTGTGTTAACCATCATTGGTGATCACACCATCTAACGGATACCGTAATTCAACCATCCACAGGCGTCTCGATGACTATTTTTCCAGGTGGTGGTAACAAGGTACAATCATTCAGTACAAACTAGTGTTTATTCAGGGTTATCGATCACTATGTTTACTCTCCATTTACGTCTGCGTCAATGCCAACGCCAGTTAGATTCACATGGCCACAGCGACGGAGAAATGCGCTCACACTTAGGTGACTCCGTGGATGAATAAGCGACGGGTGTTGTTACGAGTAAACTAAATCGTTAGTGAGATCTACAGTCTCGCATTCTAAGGATTAAATTCCTTTTGGCACTATACTTGGTACAGGAGCCACAGGTGTCCCTGAAATGTGATGTACAACGCGGAAAAACGAGAAAAAGTGCAACTACAAACTCACTTCCAATATCTGATCACCGGGTTTCAATCGTCCGTCCTTCGCAGCAAGACCATCGAGGAATATTTCTTGAATTATCACACATACCTAAGGTGCGAACACAGCAGTTTTAACCATACATGAGATGAGAAGGGCACATGTTAGCGGGGCAAACCAGCTCGTCACACGAAACATCATCAGTTAAAAAAACGCATGAGGTTTGGCAACTCACTCATGGGACACTATATGACCCGGAAAGAGCATGGCAATTTCGTGGTTCCATTATAAATGTCGCTAGGATGACAAAATGGCAGCCAAACAGCGTTAGCGGTGAATTGGGGAATCAACCAGAACTGTTGCAAAGCGACGAAACAAACACATGAATCGAGCAGGAGAGTCACCGTACACAGCTGTAACGGCTGTAAGTGTGATTGATAAATAAGAAGCAAAGGGTGAAAGGAAACAGTAACAGGTGGAAGGTAACCGCCCGACCAGGGCTGCAACCGCGATGCAAAAAGTAGATTGCAGGAGATTCTATGCGTAATCCCACTGTTTGGAGCTTTACATGTGTAAATATAACGCGATTAGGCACAAATTTGCAAACGACGGGCACTTTAACTTACATACCGCATCATCAAGCGATTAAGTGTGTGAGACTCTACTGCGCGAAGATGTAGCATGAGCCAATGCGCCAGTCACCGAGTGTGTTAACACAGACTCACTGAGTCACGTATGGCAAAGAAGTACTTTAGTTTCAGATCCAGCCCGAAAAGAACCCATTAATCAAACTAGCAACATCTGAAAGTGGTAGTAGAAATGGTCATACAGAAGCGGATGGGAGGGAAGCACAAGTTCTTCAGAATGAAACTTGATTGACAGTGGGCCGGAAATGCTCGACTGATTGAAATAAGGACCTGAACTAACTCGACGCCAGTTAAGTGAGTGTCCTTATTATTGACACTGAAGCTTGTTACCATCGTCAGAAGTGACTACATTAAGTAACTCTGCATTGTGTGATGGGGCAGACTAGCGAAAGATGAAAGCCCGACGCACTAATATCCAGTAGGATGAATCCACTGCAGGTGAAATTCGATAGAGAGAGAGAAAGCAGCTTTGTGATAAATATGAACAATGCTATCCAATTTCACGTACAAAAAAGAAAGAATTCAACAGGTTGCAGGTCCAATCAAATGAAGTGGCGTAGCAACTATGGATGTCGGTCGGGGAGCAAGTTTAATTGAGAAATGGTATGGAGAAACAGTGTGCTATCCAGTACGTCTAAGCTTGCATAGTTCGTTGACGTAACCGTGAATCGGTTTCACCGGTTCGGGTACTGGATGAACGGACAAAAAGCAAAAAGAAGTGTCGGGGTGATCGATGTTATCCAATGATCATCAGGTTACCAGCGAAGGCACAACGGTTAGTATGCCGTAACAATGAAGGACGTATGACTGCAAACGCAATGATCAGCCATTTGCACTTATGAAATGAGCGGTACTGGTGGGATGGTTCCATGGGGGTTCACCTATGGAGTTAGATTACACAGCCTATGAGACGTTCAATTTTAACAGAGTAATGCGAGTACTGTTCGCTGTTCGAAAAGTCCCTTTCGTTGCCGTATATACACCGTTCATCGTGTGGTCATGGGTATCGGGAATTTATCAGCATAGTCTTGAGCTTGGGTTCCGTGAACCAACCTTCCCTCATCGACTTACGCGGCTGGCAAGTGGCATGGCAAACAACGCACGAGTCCTCAAACGGACCCATAGCAGTGAAACTAGATTGATACCGAGGGAAAGCGTACGATAGCTAAAGGTGGATCACCAGTTGTGTTATTCGGTAGGTTACATGGGTTGTAACCAGAGCGACATGTAAACGTGACCATGGTTAAACAACATCAAATAGATTGTTGATGGCGCTGCTTTTCAATGTAGCGGGAGCAGAATACTGCAGTAATGAAGTCCAAACTGTGTTCCAAATTGTGAGATTATCCATCCCGACAGGTTCGGCTGCAGCACCGCAAAAGTCGAGATGTGGAGGGGGGATAGCGTAAGCTAGTGAATGACAAGATTGAAAATGATGGTGAAACAGAAAACCATAGACCCACTCAGCTCAACTTCTTGAGAAACCGAGCACATTCAGGTGATACCAACGCACAACTCGACGATGGTATAAATAGCCTAAATCCAATCATATGGTAAGTAGAATACAAAAATAGGGTGCAGTGATTGCAGGATGGCGAGTTATTGGGGGATGCGGAAACGGACATAAAAAGCCGTTCCGACATGTGGAGAAAACGGATCTACCTCAATACAGTGTAGCAAAATCATATAATGTCTTTAGAAATTAGCTTAATAAGCCGATCCCACCGGTCACGAGTTTGCAACAAATGCCTGTGACCAGAAGGCGTATCGCTGATGGTGATGGTAGGATATCATGCTCACAGTCACAGTAATCCCAAGACTGCGGTACACGGAACAAGTCAAATGATCAACGGGAGGCTCATTTGCATCAGAACTATCAATGGAGAAGAATGTGAACAAAGATGTGATGGAAAGGCCAGATTATTGCCGAAAAGCGGGTCACTCGATTCATCGTCATAAGAACACACAAGAAATAGGTAACCTAGTAAAAACAACAAGACGCAAACACTTGTTGATGGTAATACACAGTGTGATTTGGGTCGATCATACAACTATGATCGGAGTATCGAACTGAGGTGGGTCCAGTTCCCATGGTGCGCATTTCGAAATAGCAACGATAGACATCCGTGAGGAGGAAAATCTCGAAGCAGAATACGAAGAAAAGGGAGTTGTGAAATGTGAAGTGCAAGCTACAGTAGTCGATGTAAAGCTAATACTCGGATTAAAGGGATGGAATGCGAGAGTATCAACGAATCCGCGCCTGCTTCACATCGGATGAATGTCCAACCACTATCATGATCAATACAGAGGTCTTCGTCCAGGGAGGCAAACGCCAACCTGAACAAATCTAGGCTTTTATCCAGTCATCAGTTTCGCCAGTTTCGCCTGAATGGTAGTGATCAATGAGTATACGGAGGACATGACTAAATCGATGCAAAAAGGTTGGAGTCAAGTGCGTCAACTGGGGGAATCATTTATTGCTCTTCGGGTGCTCCAACCAAATACGGGCAATAGAACGCAATGATTTCAGTGTCTAGTGCGTAGTAGCCGTGTTTTTGGTTTACAATGTAACGCCGACCGTAGTGAAGAGTTGCACATCCTAGCTGAAACTGAGCAGCTAATATAGCCCGCCGTATGCATCACAGGTGATTGGAACTTTGGAAAGACACACAAGCGTTGATGATAGGTGTAATCTACAAATCAAAAAGAAGTCGTCAGCTGTACGCCGTAACGTCGCTTCGCTGCTGCTCGACCACCACTAGTTGCGCGTGGGCTGAGTATACGGTGAGGACACCCCCCCCCTACGCGGATTCGAATTGGTAGCCTTATGATTGCAAGCCAGGCGTGCAGACCACTCGGCAGCAGGCCGACGTAGCCTATTAATGATACCAGCACAAGAACAATTTTCGTGAAACTACTCACCAACGGTGTATCACATCCACCAACCACGCTGATGCCCAGCTCCAAGCGACCAGCTAACTTCAAATCGATGCACATCACACGACCATCGGCGACCACTGGTGGATGTGGGCTGGAACTTGGAGTCGAGGAACAATTGGACGAACTGCGATCTGGTACCAAAGAAAGAAGAAAGGAGTGAGATTGTGGTGCACTGCTATTGAACAGTATGCGTGGAAACGAGCAGGCGTGAGTAAATCCGAGAAAGCATGGATCGTTGCGTACGAATAACGCATAATGCACTAATCAACTGTCACCGATGCGTGGTGCATGAAGGCGAGCAGTGGAACGAAGGTTCGGAACAGTACTAAGAAGAAATTGCGCAAACGGATCAGATTTTCTATATCCTAACTATTATGATATCTAAGTGTCGATTCTCTAATACACAACTCGTATGCACCGCGTTGCGTTCCCAACAAGATGACAAGTCTCGAGAACGAAAGACCATCTGGCGAGCAATTGCTTTCAATGATTCATTATCAGACCATTACAATCATATGGAGGCTAAAAAATAAAAATCGGCCCAGTTAGTTCAAAACGAATAGATAACGTGAAGGTGTATGTCAGAGATGAGAAAACGAATTAGGTCTTAGTAGGCTAGTTGTTTGCTACCGCGTCTGACCGAAGGCAGTCGAGCTGGGCGTCTCCAGTCTGCCTTGGAGAGCCTGGACCAGCTTCTTCTGTGAACGTAAGGAGGGCTGAAACAATCGAATGCAAATTGCTTCAGCTATCGCAAGTGTACGAAGACGGTAACTATTCGATCGGTGCGGCGGAACCTTGTAAACTATTCGGAAGACGTGTTTCCAATCCACCTCGGTCGGTGTTCACAATGTGGGCCAGGGTGGCGCTACTAATGGTCCCGGCTTGACGCATCCAACGAGGGCAATGTTCGTTCACGAATTTGGAAAACTGCCGTGCTGTTCGACCAATATACGTTGCGCCACAGGCGCAGTCGAATTGATAAATTACCATTGAGGTGATCAGGTGACAAATGTTTATGGGTAAAATAAGTTTGCGTTATAATTAAAGAAGCTTTCTGCTATGTAGGAAGAAAACCAGGAAAACATGAGTAGTTCGAGTGCAGGGAGATTGCATACAATAGACTGAAATCGAAACCAAGCGAAATAAACCTTAAGGAACCTAAGCAGATTGATGAGGAGGTATGGTGTTTCTAGCCAAAACATATCTTGATGAGCAGTTTGCCAAGGTCTAAGAATAACCACGGTTAACGCAAATTACGTGGCAGCAGAGTAAAATACACACATTTCAACTCTCAGGCAATGAATAAACATGTAAAATCGAGCACCAATGTTTTACGGCTTAGTGACAAACGACGGCCGGCTAATGCGTCATACAGATTCAGTCAGGACACCTCACTACCTGTCTAGCCCATTCTTCATCTGTGTGGAAACAAGTAACAAAGTTTGCTTACTCATCTATTACAAATTGCACCAATCTAAACGACACAGCACTTACGGCAGAAAGAGGAGTACATATGAGGTTGCTGCAAATACGCAGAGGACCACTTCCCTGAGGAATAGAACAATCGTGGCCAGACTCATTTCTGGTTTGGCGGCTAGCGCTACAGGAACGTGCGTGATACAGGCAGTAAAAATACTTCGTATCGTATACGAGCATGCAGAAAAGTCCACAGCAAAAAAATACAGGAAATGAATGCCTTAGCGAGGCCTAATATGGATCCCAAGATTTAAAGTGACGAATAGATGACTCAATTAGTGAGACTGTCCAAGGCGCATTCCAGCACCGACCATGCCACGTGCATGGTGGCGAAACGATTGCGACCAGTTAATCAAGCTCGCGAACTAATCAACAGCTAAACCACGGTGGATAAGTTACAGCTCGACATAGAAGCAGCTGCGGCAGGCTTGGCTTGCGTTGGTATAGTGCTAAGTAGCAAAGCCGAGGCCGCACTGCTGGACTGGTTCCTGATTAATAGCCGACTGTGTGCAGTTCGGCTTCGGGGATCACATAAGATCAACAGATGTTGTGAGGAGAGACGCAACTTGTTTGTGATCTCAGCTTGCGCTCCCACTGACTGCAGTTCCCACTTCGTCAAAGATGATTTTTACCGTGAACTTCATCAGTTCTTGAGCAGAGCCTGAAAATCCGACATTGTTGTCCTTGCTGGGGATCTCAACACACGGGTCGGTCGTCTATTATCTTGCGAAAGTTATCTCAGTGGCCACCACGCGCTGGATGAGAGCCGCACAGGTAGTGGAGAGACTTCACTCACTGTACGTAGATAATCATCTGTTTCTCGCGAGCCCCAGCTCTCGGCATTCGAGGGAACATTCCGCTACTTGGCGACCCCTTTCTGCGTCTCAATCATGGTCTCAGAATGATTATATTACAAGCAGTTTCAAATGGAGAGGTAGTGTAAGGGATTGCAGATCCACCTGGTCCACTTTTCTTGACTCAGACCGTGTTCTTGTCTGTGCGAACATCTGCATGAGTTTCGGAGGGTCCCCGAAAACAAAGCACTGTAAGGTAGACACAAATAAACTATACTGTGTCGGTTCAGCAGAGCGTTCAAACTTCCGTGGCCGGTGCACTCGTCTGCGACCCACCGCAAGATATTGATGAACGCTGGACGTTCATGCAGAGGACAATGATCTCTTCCCGGCAGTCAGTCTGTGGTCTTACTCAGCACTCTATGAAGCTCTAGATTTCTATGCGACCTTTGGATCTATTTGACCACCGCAGAAATATTCCAGTGGAGTCTAATCATAATGAAGTGCGCCGTTCTGCCAGTCGGCAGCTCAAACAAAACCTACATAGTGACCGTAAAGCCGGGTGGTCCCAACGTGCTTCAAAAATGGTGGCCGCCGCCCTCTATGGCAATACTCGCAAACTCATTTAACTCATTCGATTCACTGACCACAGAAAGCCTGGTGTCAGTGAGACAAATTTGCAAAGCGGATGGTTCGCCGATTCCCAACTTACAGAGACGCTTGGACCGATGGGCAGAACGTTTTCATGTTCAGTTCAATTAGCCCTCACCATCCACTTATATGCCCTGCGAACCCAGCTGCGCGCCCTGGGTCGTCATACTTGACCCATGCAGCGAAGCGGAAATTCGTCTTGCGATTCGACACTTGATACGATTCAAGGCTGCCGGCTCAGGCGGACTTCCCCCGGAGCTGTTTAAATATGGAGGCTCAGTTATCATTCGCCAGCTAGCCTCATTGTTCGCAAAAACCTGGCATGAAAAAAGGTGACTTCCTCCTGGGGCGAGTTAGTTATTGTCCCGATTTTTAGGAAGGGTACTCACACGTCATGCACCAATCCCCGGGCGATTAGTCTCACTTCGGTTGCCTCCAAGCTATTAGTATCCATTCTACTCCGTAGAAATATCTCCCATTCGCGAATTGCAGTACCGGGAAGAACAAGCTGGCTTCCGACCTAGACACGGGTGTGGGGATCAGATATTCACAATCTGTCAAGTCCTGGAACACCGCCACCTTTACCAGAGGTCGAACGTCTTTGCATTCCTGGACATTCATGCCGCATTCGACCCGGTTGATCGACCTGCACAGTGGCGTTATTTGCTAAGGAACGGTGTCCCAGAAAAGTACACTGCCATCTTACGCGCACTTCACGATCACATCTTCAGAAGAGTAAGGGTCTATGGCAACCTTCTTCCGTCCTTCGCTGTCAATACCAGTGTACGACACGGCTACCCCATGTCCCCGTTCTTCTTCAATTTTGCGATTGAAGACGTCCTGTCAAACGCTGGACGGTTACCAAAATTTTGGTCTACAGCTGCAACCGAGTAAGCGAACAACTGACTTAGGTTAGGCCGATGATATCGCCTTACTTGGTGACTACTCACAGAGCATGCAAACCATTCTAGACCGTTTGGCGATTAAGGCATCTAGGTACGGTATGTGCTTTGCGTGTTGCTTCAGGATTGACACTCACACGCTCCCGAGCTCACTATTGTAGGTAAACAGCTCGAACAAGTGGATAGCTTTGTCTAGCTGGACAGCTGTGTGTCTGCTGGTGGTGCCATTGGAAAGGAAAATTTTCTTCCCATCGCCCAATATGGGTTGGCGTTTGTCAACCTGTATCACTTGTGGCGTAGTCGAGATGTCTCCCTCTTGGTAAATGTTCATGTTTACAATGTCATCGTTGAGGCAATGTTGCTATGTGGAAGTGAGTCATGGTCAGTTCGCGTAGACGAGATGTGCCGGCTCTCGGTTTTCGGCAACGGGTGCTTAAAGAGGATTGCTGGTATGTACTGGCAACAACACATTTGAAACAGTGAAGTCAGATATCGTGTCATAGCGAATGCGACTATTCCCTTCAACAAGCTGGTTTTGCTGCGCTAGTTAAGATGTCTCGGTCATGTCAGCTGAGCGTTTGTTCTATCGCGCCCTGTTTGGGGCCGTGTACCGTCCGTCGGCAAATATACAAATTTATTTATTTATTAAGTGGAAGAGACCACGCAGTGGTGAACTGACGGCTGGACGAGAACGTTGATTGCCAACGCGAGTGTGCTCGCCACAAATCCTACTTGGGACAGATCCTGCGAGCGTGTTACCAGGGCCCAGTCGAAAGCTGATGAAATCGCGCATCAGACAGCATGCTTGTTGCCAAGGTCTGACCGGAAGCTGATGAAATCGCGCGTCAGACATCAGGTGCGTTGCCATGACCCAGGCAGGCGGATGAAGACTGGCGTGCCCGAGCAAGACAGCGAACTGGCCAGACGATGCGGACAATCAAGTGTGGAGAGTGGGCTTACAGCCAAATCCGCCAGGCGATGTTTAGAGGATTGGTGAGACCGACATATAAATATGAGCGTTCTCGGTCCTAATACAACTCTGGTCCGCTGAGTCGTCCACTGTCTTCCTTCCTTCCGAGTTTGTCAAGGCGTCAAACAGAGCAGGCGTAAGGGTGCAGATTTACCAGCAGGCGTAAATCAACTGGTCGATTGCGGGTACAGCGTTATAACATGAACCATCCACCTGGTGACAGCATGTGAAATCGTGGACTTCCCGTCTTGCCCCCATTGGATCCACGTCTGCTTGGTTGGGACCGAAAGACGAGGAGTACCGAGAGCTGGAAACAATTCAGGATATGGCTCGTAATC